CAAGCCCTTACTTTGTCGTCTCCATTTCTGTTCTTACTCTGTCCACGAATTCACCAAAACTTTATTTATTTAGGTGAACCGGAAATCGAATGCGGCCCAACATCAATCACTGTAAATTTCAATACTCGCAATGCGTTCGAGGGGCACGTTTACGTGAAGGGTTTGTATGACCAGGAAGGCTGCCGCAACGATGAGGGTGGTCGACAGGTTGCTGGTATTTCGCTGCCGTTTGACTCTTGCAACGTTGCTCGTACACGATCACTAAATCCACGAGGTAACGCTGATTTCATGACCATCAAACAAGCTAAAATATGCATTATTTCCATCTAGTCCTGGTACAAAAGTTTGGAAAATTTATTTGGAATTTCTAGCTTGCTTTTTCCGAAATTTCACATGCAAAAATCTGGCAAATTTTCCCGGATTTTTTTTCAAGTTTTGCATCTTTCCAAAATTTACTTCGGCAGGCAAAAAAATGCTCCGCATCAAATATAAGATTTTTTCTTTTATATTTGTGTCATGCTTGTTAATAAAATCTCAAAAATTTAGGTATTTTTGTGACCACGACCGTTGTCATTTCGTTCCATCCATTATTCATCACAAAAGTTGACCGTGCTTACCGCGTCCAGTGCTTTTACATGGAAGCTGATAAAACGGTCAGCACTCAAATCGAGGTATCCGAAATCACAACCGCCTTCCAGACCCAAATTGTACCAATGCCTGTCTGCCGCTATGAGGTTTATTTTTTTTTCAAATTTTTATTTGACGATTTAAAATTCTGCTGAATAAGATCCACGTCTACTGATTGCTAGTAAAAAAAAATCCACTAAATTTTACAACCCCGTCCATGTAGGGACGTAGAGTTTAATGGACTGGCTTACTGGTAACTAGTAGGCGTAGCAAGTAATGCTCAGTAGGCGCAAACTTGAAGGGTCACCGAAGAGAGAGGATGTGCGCGTCTCAACAGGAGAGTAATATAAACTGATTATATGCAGTTTAGGATCGAGAGGTTTGGCTGCTTCTAACATAACAGTAACACCATTAGTTCCGAATCTTTACAACTACTGTCCGAGTGATCTCAGGTGTTTCGGTGATATAAAAACAAAAAAGCTTTAAAAAAAATCTGAATCGAAATCACGATAGCGAATTAGCAAAACTTGCATCGATTTTTGAAATTTTTAAAAATGTTAAATCTTAGATCCTGGATGGTGGACCAACCGGACAGCCAATCCAATTTGCAACAATTGGACAACAGGTATACCACAAGTGGACTTGCGATTCAGAAACTGTTGATACGTTCTGCGCAGTTGTACACTCCTGCTTTGTGGACGATGGCAACGGTGATACGGTTGAGATTCTGAACGCTGATGGATGCGCCCTCGACAAATACTTGTTGAATAACTTGGAATACCCAACTGGTAAGCGCTGAAAGAAATTGTGCTCCGTCAAAACTAGTTGTTTAGACTAGTCAGAGGTGTCAGTCCTTCAAAGGGGAATCATCAATATCTCTGCTAGCTGCTGTGTGTGTAGTCCATTCGGGCTATTTTTGGGGCGCTTTTGCCTCTCATAAAAGAAGTATGGTAGGCATTTTAAGCACTGGATCTAAATATGGTATGTGCCGACCGAAGTGCTGTAAC